ACGAGCTTCGTCTGGACAACATCGTATATCGCTTGGGCATACCAAATGCCATAGTAACAGATAATGGCAAGTAGTTTGACAATGCCAAGTTTGAAGAGTTTTGTTCCTAACTTGGTATTAGTCACCTCARTTCGTCTCCGCCCACCCAAAGGTTAATGGGTAAGTTGAAGAAATAAACAAAATCATAAAGTGTTGCCTAAAATTAGGGCTTGATGCAAGAATGGGTAGGTGGGCCGARGAGCTCCCCGAAGTCATCCGRTTGTACCGTACTACACCATGCAAATCAACAGGAGAAACTCAATTCTCCCTGGCCTTCAGTTCCAAGACTGTAGTGCCCGTGGAAATTGGAATGTCAATGAAGAGAATCAATCACTTTGACCAACACGCAAATGATGAAGAATTTCTTCTCAACCTCATGCTGGATGAGAAGTGAGAGTTGTCCCAATGGCAGAATACCAGAATAGAATAATGGCGTGACACTACAATGCWMKWGTCCAACCTCAAACTTTTCAAGTCAGACACTTAGTCCTTTGAAAAATCCAACAGCATGTTGGCGTAGTAGATCCAACCTAGGAAGGACCCTTTGAAATTAAAGGTGTTGTACGYCCAAACACGTACATGTTGGCCAACCTAGGAGAGCTACTTCCACATCCATGGGATGTAGAGCACCTCAAGTGTTATTATCCCTAAATTATGAAAAAGTCCAAGTTTGCGGACTTGTGTAAATATTCAAGAGGGTAATAATAACGAGGATTTCACGATTTGATTCTACGTCTYCCTTAGTTACCGGTTTGACCTACAATCAAATAGGGGTCATGTATGACAGGTCCCGGGGTGCGAGGTGCGACATGAATGCACAATTCGGACCCCCTACTATGTTTCTCTACCATCAATATCTTCCAGATCATTCCAAATCAAGGTTATGTAAGAAGCAAATGAAAAATCAATGGTCGAAGTAAAGATGGAAAAGCACAGAACAAGAGCTCAACAAGAAATCTCAAAGTCAGACATTTCATTGATAAGTGGTCGAGGTATATATGCCCCGGCTGAACTGGCGTACAAAGAAAGAGAGAGGGAGATAAGTACAAWAAAATAATTGAAAACATGAGAAGAGTTCTATTCATAGAGGTTCAAAGATGCGAGTTAAGCTCCCTTGGGAGGCTAGCAGGTCGACCTCTAAAGAGGTTGGAAACGTTGCTTTCTGAGACAATGGTCGTGCTGGCTCTTGGCGCCACCTCGCTCCCATTTTGGGTAACCCGAATGGCATGACTACCTTGAGTCATCTCTCTATCTTTAGCCTCGGGCTCGGAGTCTAACTCCCTCAAGTACCACGCTACAAGCCCTTCAGGGCCAGGCGATCCGTTAGGACCAGAAGCCCACTTCTCTACATACCTCTGCTTCATGGGGCCGAGGTCGAGGCCATGAGCGATATCCTTGATACCTTCCATYAGAAATTTGAATCAAGCATCACTAAAGTCCTTCGTGAAGTGGTCGAAGTCTGGCGAGCTCGAAAGGTGTTCTTCAGGAATTCGCCATCTTTGAGATTAGTCTCCCGCTTCTCCATCTCGGCCTTCGAAGCAGTAATGTCTTTGATCAGGAGGTCGTTGCGCCTCAGGAGCTAAAAATTCTCAAGCTCTAGACCTTTCACTGTCACATGGCTCCTCTTCACTAAGGCCATGTTTTCGGTAGATAAAGCTCCCCTCCCCTTCTCAATTAGCCTGTCGTGACCGTCCAGCTCAACCTTCATCATGACGGCGACGTGGCAGACTGCGGCATGAGTCTGCGCAAACCGAGATGGTTAGCTCAAAAATATTCCAAAGCGAAAAGAGAGAGAAAGGGAACGTGAAGACTCACCTCAGCCGCATAATCGGTCATCTATTGGATGGCCGACCCAGCAACACTAACAAACTTTGAAGCGTGCCTCATGCACCAAGCATAACTTGCACTTCCCATTTGTGCCACCATGTCCTTCACCCTGGCGCTTGAAGTTTCTATCCGAAACCTCATCTCAATGTCCAAGGTACCCCCCATCCTGGCCTCGGGGTCCTCGGTATGGTCGACAATCCCGCTGCACCTTTGCTCGACCACAACTCCCTTAGAAGAAGTAGTCTTTCTCTTCTTCTTCTTGGTCTTCTTTGGAGAAAGCCCCCCCTCTCAGACAGATCGCAAGGGAGGGACCTCTAATACATCAAAGTGGGGTCACCCCGCTGTTCATCAGCAGTTGGTGCGTATCGGGCACACTCCAAACCGATCACAACCTCTAGAGTTGTCTCGACCACCCTCGAKCTCGAGCTCGGTGCAACCTTCGAACYTACACATCATTGTTACATGAAAGAGAACGATAAAATTAGGACAAAGTTCAAGGAAACGCTACATCTTAATTCGGATYTGCCGAGACTAGGCTACCTAGCTCGGAATTSGGTCGTAAGGCCTRGACCGACAGGTTTGATGCTAAGGTATAGTCCAAAAGTCCAGAAGCAAACAAGAGTTTGTCGGTCAACAAGGTTCCGACCTGTCACCCCTTTTGTAGCGGTCCTTGAAGTATCTCAAATTCGAAAGTTTGCATGGTTAGGGTCGGGATTGTCTTGATGGCAACTGCGAAGTATAAGCAAAGTCTAAAGAAAGGAAGGGAYCGAGMTACCAATCAGAGACAATTATCTAGAGTGATTTCTTACTTATCCGAACCTACGGGGTACGTTGTAAAAGGGCTGGTCTTGCTCGTCCAATGCAAGTCATTCCCCAGAGGCATAAAACCACTTCATCTTCCACCGTTTTATTGACGATGGGCCCTTAATTATGCCTCTACACCTTTCCTCGCACAAAGATAAAAGCGTCTAGGTTTTTTCAAGATTCTTTTAACCTCGAAGCATGCTAAGAGCTACTCGGCATTGAGCAATGCAGTGTCCTCGATTTCTCGGCACCTAAGTCACCATAGGACTACTAATTCAAAAAGAACGCCCCATTCATTGGGGGCGATCTGAGGGCGCGAAACCGACTCTACTGAAGAATTCTTGGGCCAAAGGGTGAAGAGGTAGCCTAAAACGAAACTCAAACATCTTTAAGTAAAGGGTGACGCACCCATCAGGAGGATTATCAGTTGTCTCTCCCTCCAAGGGAAGACGGAGACCTATGGAGTCAGGGATGTTATAACACCTACGGAAGGGGTCGAAATAGTTCTCAGTCATTTTGGAAGGGTACCCATTCCCTTGATCCGAGGCAGAGGCATCACTGCTACTGCCTTCCCCCTCCGAAACCCTAAAACTCTCCACCTCCTCTAACTCTTCATTTAGCCTATTTACTAAGTCCTTGCTAGAGTTAAATCCACTAGGGGACGAGGTGTTATGGTTCCGACCTAACCTGGAGGACGAGCTACTACTTGTACTATTACTGGAACTAGACATCCTCCAAAATGTAAAAGAAAAGTAGTAGATATTATCTCGAAAGAGAAGGACAGACCTAAAGTGTGTAGCACCAAGCTRCCCAGGTCAGAGTCAATAATTTTTCAAATGCAGAAAGCGTGAAAGGCAGAGCTGGATCTRGAAAGCTACTTATAGTGGACCGAAAATTCATCCTAGCCTACACGCATCACCAGGTCAATAGCTTAGATCGAGCAGCATACCAAGCGTTAGAGCACTTAATAATTGCTCTGACAGCTATCATACCGACCGTTTGTCTTCCCAACGGTCACATTTCTTATCTCAATCTCGGAAGTCACCACTTAGGTGGATTTTCAAACCYAAGGGAAAACTTCTCTGCCAGGTCGAACTCGGACCAACAGAGAGGGGGCTAATGTTTGGAGGTGAAAATCGCATTGCCACATGGACGACAAAGAGAGGTTCACCTGAACACGTCCTGAAAACTAGACCACCTCAGACRATTCCGAGGTGACATACTTAATCATAAACTCGTTATGGGAGCCATCCTATGGAGTGACTAGCATCTAGGTCTGACCCACAGTTCGAGACATGTCTGACCTACTATCCAACACCGATAACCACCTATCGGAAGGCATGTCAGATCCATAACCTGTAAATAGAGGGCGCCACTTCTACAGACAGGTATCAAATTCATTCTCGAATTTAATATTGAGTCCGAGCTGATACTGACTTGAGCGTTGGAGTGTTTGCCTATTTTGTGCATGTCATTCCTTGACGAGATTTGTTAGTTATTCCATGTGTTCGACCTTGATCGAATCCGACTTCGTCTGGTTTTACGCATAAACATATCACATGGATGATATTATGTTAAAATCATGTTCATTACTAAAGATTGATAATTTTCTTATGCGACATGTTTTTTTTAGATGTAGAGAGAGACACTTGTGGGAAAAAGATAGAAAGTATAATTATGATTATTCTAGAATAAATATCTTAAAATTCAAGAATAATTAGTRTGGAAAAAAACCAAAATCTATAAGAAAATTAGAATTACCTAGAACCCCTAGATAAGTTGGACATTATATTTAATCGGGTAATTGATTAGTGTTTCATGGATCCAAAAGAACCGACCAACTTCGATTTAATCGTCTGGCTCAATTTTTTCACAACCTTTTTGACAATGCTTGATCACCCATATTCAAATCGACTAAGATTTCAAATTTAACTTTTAAAACAAGACATAAGATCATTATTAAATAACGTCTTAAATTTTAAAAAGTATTTATTAAAATTAAATATGCTAACACATTAGTATTAAAGATAACTCAATTAATAGCTTGTTGGCATTTTAGAGTTGTAATATAATTAACAAGCACTAAACCTATTATAACTATAATTAACTTATTAATTACCAAATATTTCTAAACTTAGACTTCATTGAGGTTGAAAAAAGTACATTCCAATGAATATTTCTCTGCTTTTACATGAGAGCTAGATAGATCATCTTTTCAAATGACATGTCTAGCAATGTTCTCATTTTCCAAAGCATATAATACAACTTTCATCAACGTATGTAAACATTTTTATCGATATTTACACACATCAAATGATTCAACATCAACATGAAACAATATTCTTTTTCTAAAATGACATGAAAACATTACAATATCGATGATATAAAACTTATGCTTCGCTGAGTCCTCTATATATCGGTTGACCTCGACATTTTTTAACTCACTTATAAGAATCCGAGGAATTGACACTCTGATGTTCCAAAAATAAGCAAATATGAGACCCTAATCTTGCAGATCCCTGAAACTTTCAAGGTACCAAAACAAATCACACATGTCAACTAATTGAACCATTTTCCTACATGCTACAATGCCAAAACTCATTCTACAATCACATCATTTTTACTGGAGAAAACATGAATTTCTATCCTCCTACATACAAGTTTTCCTTGGATCAAAGTCAGTGAAATTGCTTCTGGAGCCTACCAAACCAAATAATGGGAGGAAAAACTTGAATGAATGTGTTCGAAGCTGCGAGAAGTTCATTTTCTTTGTGCGAATATCGACCAGACACGCTACAGAACCCGTAAATACAAACTTCAGATAACACTAACAGAACAACAGCAATCAAAATAAGTGTATGATGTCGTCTTCATCGGATAATGAGTTGAAAGCAGACAAAGTAAGCCTGCATGTTAATCCAATACATGTAAGAATGACAGTGACTTAAAAGAGGGGCGAAGTTCGAAATGAGTAAGACTCATTTTGTGCTTTACCTTTATTGCTAACTAGAAGTGAAACCATGATAAATAAATGAGAATTAAGCATAGGCTAAAGAACGTGAATCGGATCGGGATGTCGAGAAGCAGAGTCATCCATAAAACAAAATAATGCTATATCTAACTAAACTTATAGTGCATATTGGGACCAGCAAGAGCTAGAAAGAAGCAAGATTTGTTCTGGAGTAATGTATTATTAACAAAATATTGGGTTCAAGACAACAAGAGATTTGAGTATAAAGCTTCCAAAACCATCATAACAATCTCAAAATTAGTGTAACAACATTATTTTTTATAACTTTGAAATGAATAAAGAATTTGACTGTTTCTCATGAAATCATATACGCATTTCAAAACAGATGATGGATTCAATTTCAAGCTAGATGGTTTAACTAAATACTCTAGAATTCGAGAACAGTGGAGCGAATGTCTATATCCTCGGGCGCAGAGTCAAAAACAGAATTCATTCCTGCGGCCACTATAATTCTATACAGAAACAGCAAGGAAAACTTCAATCAGGAAGATTCTACCTTCTAAATAGTTTAGAGAAAAAGCATAATGAGAGAGTGAAAATGTGCAATCTAACCTGAAGATTACTATGAGGAACATAAGCAAATAGAAGATAAGCTTGCCCAAACGAAAATACTTCTCACGTTTGAGAACTCTAAACACCTCAGTGACATCAATAAGATGCTCCCTCTTCAAGAACCTGGGACATTGTAATAGGATATTACATGTCATAAGCATACAAATATGGAGAAATACTTGAAGGAAATTCACAGTCCAACTAGTGGAATACAATTGCATTTCTTTTTCTTTTCTTTTCTTCTTTTCTTTTCTTTTCTTTTTTTTTCCTTCCCGTTTACCATCTTCTCATTAGAAAATATTGGTTTTATTCCTAAAATAGACCAGCAGTAGATGGCTATCCATCACTGAAAATCTATTAAAGACATATATGTGGAATCTGAGGTTCAAACAATAAGTTGGCATGCTTCAATTGATGGAGGGCGCCTCTAAAAATTTCAGTATAATACTGGAATAGCTCCATAGAGTAAGACGGAATAGAGAATGAAGAAAGGAATAATTCTTTGATGCTTTTATTTCCAAAGATTCAATGAGCACTTAGTTATTGCCTAAAAGTTTTTAACTTTTTACAAAAGAAAGGATAAGGGTTACTGTCCTTACATGATAGAGTACCTTTGGTAGTATTATTAATTACGATAAAGTATCCAACATCTACAGTGGTATTATTAAAAGCTTGCAAGTCTCCCTAAAGCAGAATGAGATTACAATAATTATCAATAGTCCATTTATAATTATAATTTTTCTTACGTCTGTTAGGTACAACACAATTTTCATTGTGATGCTCCCAACCTTAAAGAGTGATACTTGGTTGAATTTCTACTTTTTATAAATCTGCTTCTTTTTTTATCTCTTTTATCTTTTAAGACTAGAAAAAAAGTTTTTATCTCCAATATATATCAATGAGAAAGTTATATATGTAAAAAAATAAAAATATTTGAAAGATTATTTGGTTACACAAATTTTTAGTTCCAATGCGTCAGTCAACAAGAACGGTTCCATGAACTATCATGCTTTGATTTAGTGGCTAATAAGGACCAATGTAAATAGTAAAGGACTTGGAAGGAATAAGTTCAAACTATRGTAACCACCTACCTAGGATATAATATCCTCTATGTTACCTTGACGATCAAATGTAATATCAAGTGATTGTCCCATGAGATTATTTGAGGTGAGCACAAGCTAGYTCGGATACTGAAGGATATAAATAAATAAAAGACATGTTTCATCCGCAAGCATCAATTCTGACAGCATGTTATTAGAAAAGGACTGTTTTATCATCTGAAAAGATGAAGATGATTAATATGCCCATGACGAGGGATGGATACAGYGTGCGGCAGCCATCGTGTAAATTGATATGTTGGGCATCRTCCTCTGGATATAGGTGGAGTATACATTGGAAATATTAGAATGGGGAATGGACACTTATTAGCTAAGTGGATTTGAAGATTTCTAATAAAAGGCGGCACAAACGTCATTTCTGGTATATATCCCAAGGGGCCTTCAGGATTCTATTGCCACTATGTCTTTTGATTAAAGGACTTCTTTCCTTGGCTGAAAGGCAAAACCATTTAGGATTACTGGTTTGAAGGCAGAGATAATTTCAGAAGGAATTATCATGATAGATTTATAGACCGAATGGTTGTCTCTTTATCCAAGTTGGGTAACTTTKAGCTTAATAAATCCCATAATTCTAATTCTGGTTGTTCAATATTTCAGGACATTTCTCTCGCAAATCTTTATTTCACAATCTTACTGAGTTACTGCCAAAGAGGTGGCAATTCAACCCAAGTCGTGCAAGATGATCTGAAAGTTCCAATGCTCAAAAAAGGTTGCCATCTTTGATTTGACTCTATTTCTTTGGGGCATCAGTACACATGATGAGGTTCAGAGGCACACAGTAGAGTCCGCTCACCTGGTTGATCAAGCAAATGGTGAAGTTATCGTTACATCTCCAAATAGTATCCTATGCCTTTTGCTCGTTGGTTTAAACTTAGCAATGTTTGGCTGCAATTCCCTTTTCCTAGGAGGATTAAAGACCATAATATTGTTCTGTGGTCATCCTTCAAAAAGGACAAGGAAAGAAAACCCAGTGGCTTGATGCAATCAAGKYCACCCTCCCGGAAATTTTGTTGAAAAGAAATAGAAGAGTCTTCCAAGCAATAAAAAGGAATTTTGAGAGTTGTGGAATCTCATACTTTTAGATGGTAGTGCTCCTACAGTCCTACCAGGCTCTTCATAATTCTTCCTCTTATTTAGTTAATGCTGATTAGATTGTTTCTATAATTTTGATTTGGATTTTGGTTTGCCTTTTATATATTTCATATCTTTAATTCTATACCATTTCAACAAGCTGAAATTTTTCTTAACAGATTCCCAATGTCCTAATATTATTATTTAGGGCAAAGATATTCGGATTCCTATGCTTATCTGACAAACTGAAAAAATCAAATACCGGATGATAAGATACCTTTCATTTTTTGAGAGAACTGGATGATAATGTACTCAACTTTATAAATACAAGATTAAAACTAAATGAATAACTTCAAAACAAAGTAGATAAATAGTAAATACAGAGAGAACATCTACTATAAAGAGTATTCTGAAAAAATAATTTACATTTTCTTGGAATCTAACCAACTTCTTTTCCTCATTTTTTCATTTAAAAGAAAACATGGAATCGACCCAAAAAAGGGGAACAAATCAAATCAATCTGAAAGCATGCCAGAAGGAGTCGAACAGACCCATTAAAAACTTAAAATAGAAATTATAAACTGTAAATCTAAGCTTATGAGCTCATTATGGTGTCAGAAACACTAACCATTGAATATCTAAAATAATAAGTACCCATTAGTTATCATACTTTTCAAAAAAGCACCAGTAAACTCCTAAAGCACTTAATCATGCAGAAACAGACTCAATCTTGAGGGGGAAATAAAAAATGTTCCAACAACTTAAATGACACCCAGCAACTTGACAATTACAGGAATCTACAGTTCACTCGTTTTACAAATGACCATCTCAACTTCAGAGTGAAAACATGCAAAGTTCCTAACCCTTCCAAGCAGCTTTCACTACATATGCGCATCTTAAAAGATATTGTGCTTGATAGCAGAACAACATAATAAAACTGTAAAAGGATAATAGTAACAATAAAACTGTAAGAAGTATATAATAACCATTTCCGTAACTTTTCATTGACAGACTGAAAAGTTAAGAATGAACGCAGTTTTTTAAGAGAAAAAACTACAATCCAAAGATTTTTTATTGTAAAATAAAAAGGGCCCGGATCAATATGAATATATCCAAACAAAAATATATACATATACACAATATGAGTGCAGGCTTGATTCATTTTACAAACGCCAGAAGCCTCATCCATGACATTTCCAACAGCAAAAGGAGAAAGTCAACGAAGAAACTCCACCAATATGCCTCATCCATAACACGCAGTAAAAGAAAAATATACATCATGCTTTGTATCAATTTCAAGAAATACTTACAATCTTATGTGATAGCAGCTGACAGGAACGGTAATAAGAAACATGAACCAATGGCCAGTCAAGAGGAAAAGCGAGCAAAATACTCCTTGCACTATAAACTCTGGAATGACAAGCTTATTAATGCGAGATGATGAATCATAGATGTTCAAATAATCTGCCTCCAAATCCGTCAATACCAAAAGCTACAGAAAGATCAACCATATCCATTAGATGCTTCAAACTTGAAAAGCACAAATGTATCTAGGCAATCAATACTACTCTTTCAAATGGCCAGTGATATTGACCTAAATAGGAACTCTAAATATTCACCATGTCCATACAAATGTAAACAGCAATAGAGACAAGACATTATCATAGTTCATTACCCCACAAATAACCAGCGGGGACATAAGTTGAAATCCATTTTCACATCATTTGTCCACACATTCTCTGAGGGCTACCTTTTCCCTTTTTTTTTCTTTTATTATTTTTTTTTTTAATTTGAAGTTGGAGCTTTACTTCCTATATCCAGGGGCACGGCCCAAGAGACATCAAAGATTTTTGGTATTAAGCTCGTCAGAAGGTTCGAACTTGAGACTTTAAGCCAATACGACCAAGAGACCCCAAGTCCTTGGCAACTGYGCTACCCTTATACGGGTAGCCATTCTCTAAWGGCTACTTAACAAGTAAAAGKGCATCGTTGACTCAGATGAAAATGAAATGATCATTCGGTTCACTGGACATGGCTGGCTATTCAATATACAACAGATGCCTAGGCGTTGTCATTTTGCGAATGCATTTCTTACAGCTAATAAGTGCACAATTTAACAAAATACCAAATCCGTCGACATAAATTTGATGGTTCTACAGCTTGTTTAAGAAACCCAGAGAGAAAACGGTGAAATCAGAGTGTAAGAAGGTTCCACTTCCATTATTAGCCAGCATCAGCAAGCAAAGAAACCAATAAAAACTTCCTCCAACAGAAACAGTATGGCATCAATCAAAATCTAGGTCACATCTAGATGGACAATCAAATTGGGGTCCAAATGCTGAGTTCCACAGGATTATAACAAGACAGACACGACAACAACCTTCAAGGTAGGGTTCAGCAGACGCATTCGAACTTTCTCGGAAACCAAAGAGAAAGCATATAAAAAACATAGAATTGGTTGATCTCCGAAGATTAGAAAGGAGGGTACCTGGTAAAAGTTGAAGACGAGGAGGGCGACGTTGATACAGAAAGAGATGAACCAAAAGATCAGATTCCACGCCATATTGAGAATCTGCAGAACTGGAAGTGGGATTGCGAAGTTGAGTGAGTGCTGTTGGTGAATTTGAACTCTAGAGGGAGGATGATGCTACATACTGCAATGGAGGAAGTTTCAGTAGCTCCATCTCCATGGTTCTTCCACTTTCAACTTCATTTCTAGGGAAGAGGCTGACTTTATTCACACATCTCATTAAAAAAGTTTTGATTTTTCTCTCTTTTCTATAATGGGTTATATTTATAATTTTCATGTTGCTTTAGTTTGAATACAATTTTCGGCCGGGRATATATATCAATTACGTCATTTAGCTCAATTTTTATTTATTATAATCTTTGCTCGTAAAATTTTAAGACAAATTGTATGAAATCTTTTAACACAAAGTGACAAATTATATGAAATCTTTTAACACAAAGTGATGGGTAGCAAACATTTAGTYTATTGAAATTATCAARTTTGTAATTTCAACTTTAACTTATCTCAATTATGAGTATTTTGCTTTTATTCTTGGAYGAAAAAACATAAGATATATTCAACTAAATATAGGAAAAAATTTTAAACCATTAGGATGATAAAGAGACTTCAAGTTATAAAAAAATATGGCTTTTTCCTATCAATAATCGGTTATATTTCAAGAAATTTATAGAATATAATGTGGCGTTAAAATTGTGATAAAAATATATGAGATAAAAAAAGAAAAATAAAGAGATCACAAAATTATTTGGACTAAAATAGATAGAGTTGCAAGGAATAAATTAGAGAACAAAATAATATTTAAACCTATGAGTTTCATATCTATTTTGTCTCTCAAATTTTAAATCTTTTGTTGTTTAATTTTACAATTTTTGTTACCTCAATTTTATGCCTAATATTGTTACAAAAATTGTCTAATAAGTGATTTTCATTCATTTAGTTAATTATTTGAGTTTTTTTTTCGAGACAGTTGATCATATGAATTTAAAGACTTAGAAAACTAATCTTGAATTTAACAGGTATTCTCAAAATTAAAATCTCAATTAGGAAGGTTCATTTTCCCGTGGTGATGACTCGTGTAGACGTGCCTAAATAGGCTGGGAATCTACGTTTAGATTTTCCATGGGGTAAGGATAGGAGAAGCTTTTTCCAGTCACTTAATGGGACAGAAACAAATAATATGTTACCGATCCCTGCTTCACTTTTTTTTTAAATATTCTTAGATATACTAAAATAATCCTATTATTTTCTTTATATACCTCTACTAGAAATATTTTATTCTTCTCCATGCATCACCCAATATATATAGATAGATATATAGAAGATGATTAGACCATGTAAATAAGGTTAGAAATTAAGTCATTAATTAGGAATTTTTCTAGGAAAAAAATATTTAATTGAAAAATAATTTTAAAAAATAAAAAATAAATGGTGAAAATTTTATCGTGAGAACCCAACCTTCACGAATTTTCCACGTGGAATCTCTACCGCGATTCCCACAAAATTTTGTGGACAATTTTAGCAAGAAATTTGAGGAGTGGTGGGGGATGGGGATGAGATGGGAGAACCTTCCCCGCCCATGAACATCCCTAATCTCAATTCTTTCAAATATTGTGTAGATTCTTTTTAAAATAAATTAGTGTGTAGATTTGAAATTAATATTTAGGTTAAATTACTAATATTTTGTCTTTCCAATCAAGTTTTACATAGGTGGCTGTGTTATATTATCATATTAGCTCTCTTTTTTAATAAAATTACTTTTTCTTAAACTATGTCAACTGACTCAATTTGAACCTGCTCTACTAGTTAAGACATATATCTTCGACTAAAATTTTGAAAATCTAAATCTCCATTTAACATGGATCTAAAAATTTTTTTATCTTAATTAAAATATAATACAAAGTGATGGATATTTTTGGGGACGGGCCTGCTCTCAATACTCGACGAGAGAAATGGTCCCGACTGATTACGTCAAGTCAATCATTTTTTATAACTTGGCCTCAAGGTTTATTCTTTCCATAGATGTTTGATTCGTTTATGATATGTGCTTCTCTTACACCCGACTACCTTAAACCAGTTCCAAAAGGTATAGGAGTTTATTCTAATATAATAGGAGAATGAGTGCAAATTAATACATTTCTACTTATTTATATAAGGAATTGAACCTTATCCTCAAGTTGACTTGTGATTGTTATTGTTGAGATCTACTTTTGTTGACTTATCATTCTTACTGTAGATTTATTATTTTCGTCCAAATGTTTTTTTATACATATTTTGTCATTTTGTTTTTTGCGATACTATGAAAATGTCATCGATTCAATTCTTATGTCGAAGTCGAGTCCATAGACATACAGAAATGTCAATAGAAACATCAACGAAAATTTAATTCCTAATATATCAAAAGTCGATAGAAATATTGAATTATCAACAAAGATTTAATACCTTAATGATATGAATAGGTTAAAATATATATTTAGTCCATGCATTTTAATATTTATATTACTCTGCTTCTCGATATATTCTCCACAAACATATTCTTTTTAGAATACAATAGTACAAGGTGACATATTTATTTTGCTTTGAAATATCATAAATTATAGGTTAAAATACTAGTTTGGTCACTGTACTTTCAGCTTTGATTCATCTTAGTCCTTATACTTTGAAAATGTTCGTTTTGGTCCCTGTACTTTCTACTTTGGTTCATTTTAATCTCTATACTTTGAAGATGTTCATTTTTGTACTTTTAAAAAGGGACCATTTTAGTCCTTTCATTTTATTTCAAAACTCATTTTTATGGCAATTTCAACACCACGTTATAATCAATATATTTATTACAATGTAAATATTACTTTATACTAAAATTGTTTATGTTATGTGTAAAATTTGTATTAAAATCTTGCAAAGAGGGACTAAAATGATCAATTTTTAAAAGTACAGGGATCAAAATGAATATTTTCAAAGTATAGTGACTAAAATGAACCAAAGTTAAAAGTATAGAAACCAAAATGAACATTTTCAAAGTACAGAGACTAAAATGAAAGTAGAAGGACTAAAATAGCATTTTAACCTAAATTTTACCATTTCGGGTTTCATAAACAAGGAATGGACATCATGAATAGTACTACAAAACATGATCTGGTCGTTGAGCCAGTGGCTGTAGAACATGATCTGTTGTACAAGGGATTCAGATGCAAAGATAAACAAACAATGCAACATATTGTGAAAAGGTTTGCTATTAAAAGTCACCACCCATATGAAGTTGTTGAGTCGGCACCATCGAAGTGGGTAATTAGATGCAAGAAGTGGGAAGATGGATGCAAGTGGCGACTCCGTGCGATCCTAAACAAATGTTATAACCTTTGGGAAATCACGAAGTACGAAGATCAACATTCTTGTATTTACTCTGAACTCAATCAAAGTCATCCTCAATTGGATTCAAATATGATTAGTCTCGAAATTTGTGATGTAGTGAGAGACAACCCTACCATAAAAATAGTGACACTTCAAGGTTTGATAAAAGAAAAATTTGGATATCATGTTTCTTACAGAAGAGTTTGGGACGGGAAA